GGGGGATGGGATGAGCTTTAAGGTCCTTTCCAACCCAAACCATTCCACGATTCCAGGATTCCAGGATTCCATGAGTCTCAACCCTTTCCTCTGTTCTGTCTCAGTCTCAAGATAAAACCTTTCCCTGCAAACTCCCCATTCCCACGTGGACCTCCAGGTCCTCAGAAATTCCCTGGATAAATCCCCATCCTGTGCTGGAGCCTCCTTTGCCTCTCCACCACCAGGATTTGAATCCTCCAGGATTCCTCCCCTTCAGCCACAGATTTGTTCCTCCTTCATCCTCTCCCACACAGGGCAGAGCAAGGTGAGGATGCAATTCCTCAACACCTGTCCCTTGTTCCCAGCAGCATTCCCAGCTCCAGGGCCTCAGCCTTGCTCAAGAGCATCCAGCTTGGGAAAAAAAAAAAAAATTTAAAAAAAAACCTAACAAAACAAAAAAACAAGCCTTGAAATTGTTTGGCTTTTCCATCAACTAATGGAAAGAGTTATGTCATGGTGGTTAATCCCCAAGATTTCCAAGTGTCGATATATTTGAGATACCAATCTTCATATTCCAAAAGCCTGGCACTTCCTGGGATTGAAAAAAAAAAAAAAAAAAAACAAAAAAAACAGCAGATAAAGCAACAAATATGTTCTCAGTTCCCAGGCAACACCTCCATTTCCACCAATCTTTCTTCTGCTTTTTTCCCACCACACGGAGCATCCTCAAGGATAACCCTAAATAACAAAAAGGAAATCTTGGGTTTCAAGCAGAGAAGTTGAGAGATTTTTATTTTGTTCTAGGTTTTGGCACTAATCTCATGATTTTTCCAGCAAATAATTGAGAGTTTGATTTTGTTACAGAGTACTTAGGAAAACCCAGGGAGCAGAAAAGCGTTTCAGGAGGATTTTTGAAGGTGTCCAAGCACCTAAACCACAGAGAAACCCATCCCATCTCCGGAGCTGCCTTTTTAAAAACCCACTCCCTCTAAAATTGGGCAGCTCATGCCCAGGCACAGTTGTGTTTTCATTAATCAGTCCATGTCTTTTACCAGGGGAGAGCTGATGGATGCTGAGAGCAGGGCTGGCAGGCAGGGACAGGCATTCCCAGTTCAGTTTTGGACTTGCACAGCCATTCCTCCTGCTTTGTTTGCTTGGATCCCCTTCCACTCCCCTGAGCCCTTCTCCCTCATGGCCCTGGCAAAGTGGGGCTGGTCTCTGACCCAGGGCAGCAATTTTGTGCCAGAGAATTTCCTTGCACCTTTATCCCTCTCACCTCTCCGTGGTGGAGCCTCTGCCTGCTCTTTCTTCTCCTCATTTTTGGGGTGGAATCTTTCAGCTCTGCCTCAGGGGACATTTCTGTCCCCCTGGGGCTCTTCTTTTTCCATGGGAACACCTCAGTTTGGATCCAGGGTTCATCTCATCTCATCCTGGAGGTCTTTAAAATAAAATATCTCTGCCTGCCCCAAGGACAGGTTTAAACTGGATATTGGGAAGGAATTGTTCCCCTTGAGAGTGGGGAGTCCCTGGAATAGAATTCCCTGGATATTGGGAAGGAATTTTTCCTCTTGAGAGTGAGAAAGCCCTGGAATAGAATTCCCTGGATATTGGGAAGGAATNATTCCCTGGATATTGGGAAGGAATTTTTCCTCTTGAGAGTGAGAAAGCCCTGGAATAGAATTCCCTGGATATTGGGAAGGAATTTTTCCTCTTGAAGGTGAGGAGTGCCTGGAATAGAATTCCCTGGATATTGGGAAGGAATTGTTCCCCTTGAGGCTGGGAAAGTCCTGGAATAGAATTCCCTGGATATTGGGAAGGAATTGTTCCCCTTGAGGCTGGGAAAGCCCTGGAATAGAATTCCCAGAGAATCTGTGTCTGCCCCTGGATCCCTGGAAATGTCCAAGGCCAGCCTGGAGCTATGTGGGACAGTGGAAGGTGTCCCTGCCCATGGCAGGGGTTGGAACAAAATGATCTTTAAGGTCCCTTCTGATCCAAACCACTCCACGATTCTGAAGTTTGGATGGCAAACGTTCAGCATCTGAGGTTTCCTCATGTTTGGGGTTATTCCCCACTGGCCCTCAAAGCATTTTTTTGGCCTTTGAATGTCCCAGTTATGAGGAAGATGAAAAGAACTGATTGCAAAACCCTGGTAAATCAAATCTCCTCGAGTTCTTTACAGACAAACCCAGTTTCTTTCCACAGCATTCTCCTCTTTAATCCCCTCTTGGCAGAACACACCAAGGTTTGGATAGCAGAGCTCAAATTACCTTCCGTGGTAAATAAAACAAAACAAAACAAAACAAAAAAAAATAAAAATAAATTAGGGCTCCTTACCCTAAAAACAAACACCCACTGAAAACAGCTTCTCCTTCACCTGGTGCTGCCCAGGTGCCAGAAAGATGCCACTTGGATTTTGTAATTGAAGCTGTTCTTTGCCCTCAAATTCGGAATTGAACATCTCCAAACTTGAGCTCTTGTTGGGGGCCGGGCTCTGCTCTCAGGGAACAGGGGCAGGATGAGAGGAAAAAGCCTCGAGCTGTGCCAGGGGAGGTTTAGTTGGATAATTAGGAAAAATTTCTTCCTGGAAAAGGCAGGCAGGCCTTGGAAGGGGCTGCCCAGGGAGGTTTGGGGGTGAACAGGGGAAGGTGTGGACGTGGCACTCAGTGCTGTGGGCTGGGTGGACATCAGGGACACGATCTTGGAGGCTTTTCCAACCTTCATTCTGGGATTTATCCAGACCTTTCAGGTCTTTACCAGGACTTTAACGAAGCAGGATCGTTCCCTCAGGAGTGCCAGCACTCACAGGGCTCCTTTTATGTGGCTGAGTACACACAACACCCTTAGCAAACTCCTGGCTGAGCTTTGCCCGTGTGTGTTCAGCCTATTCTGGCCCCAACAAATGGGGATTGTTCACAGGTGAGCAACAATGGGCTTGGGATGTGCTGGAGGAGGCAATCGGTGACCTGGGGAAATGCACATTAGATAATCAAATAGGCTCCATCTCATTCGCTGCCTGTTTGTACAACTCTTCTCTTAAAAGCATCGAAAAAAAACAAAAGGATATTCAAGAGGGTCATTTAAAAAAAAAAAAAAAAAAAAATCGTGGGTTTGCTCTCAGGTCGGGTTTGATTTCCAGCAAGGAATTCCCAGGTCGGTGTCAGGGGTTTCTTTGGTTTGTCTGTGTGAGCAAAATGCTCAGTTCAATATCAGGGATTGAATTCTGGGAGATTCCAGGGTTTGGTGCTGAGCTTCAGGAGCTTTCAGGGATATTTTCCCAAAGAGATGTTTGGAATGGCTTTGGTCAGGTACACAAAAATGGGATAGAAATAGAAATAATTGGAAGCAGAAACTATTGGAGGTTGCAAGGGACCTTAAACCCACCCAGAGCCACCCCTGCCATGGCAGGGACACCTCCCACTGTCCCAATGTCCAACCTGGAACTCAACATTCCAGGGATCCAGGGGCAGCCACAGCAAATCTGGGAATTCCATCCCAGGGAACAATTCCTAATTCCCAAAATCCCATCAAATCCT